CCCACCTGCTCACCTCATGTGAGTGGTAGAGTAGTCCCTGGTGCAGGCGGACCCATTAACCCTAATTGTTTTACAATAGCAAGACATATTTTTGTGGACCGCGCCGCGCCGTTCTCGGGGGGCAAGTCGCCTTCCTTGAGTCGTGTCGTATGCGAATCGCGCTACCCACAATCCCGCTGCCGCCGCACTCCTGACTCTCTACCAACAAATTACCTGCACGCCCTTACATTGCACCCCCCCCTCCCGCCTCCCCTAGTAAAATGTTGTCTTTCTTCTGCCAAGCGCTCGCTGGATGACCTACGACGGCCACTACCTGACCGGACCGTATTCAGGCATTGCGTTGGCTGACTCTGTTTGGGCCTCTCTTTCCCTCTCCCCCTTCTCATCTGCGCCTCCTCCCCCGGTCCTCTCCCGGCCTAAACCTCCGTCTCTCTTCCTCTCTCTAGTTTCTCGCTCCACCCCCCCCCCCCTTCTCTCTCTCTCTCTAAACAGGACGCGATGGCGAGCAGTTGATCATTGTGTGAAAGAGCCATCAAGCTCGGCAGTAAGTGCTCCGCTCTGCGCCGGCCGGCCGGACATGGGCCCCCCGAGGCCCTTCTTCACCTGGATCGCGGAGAGAGCTGCGCAGGGCTGGGCCGGCGCCCGGGCCTGCATGGTGGTGAGGCGGCAATCACATTTACCAGCTTACTACTTTTACTTTCTCCTCTAAAATACTGTTTTTCCAGCGACCGGCATACAGGGGTCGTCGCCCCCCGGGGCCGGCGGCGCGGGGGTCTGTTTTGGTCGGCGTGAGTAATATCGTGTCATCACCTGGAGCGGCGCAACGCCAGGAGGGCAACGCCAGGGCAACGCCAGGGCAGCACGCGGTCACGACGGGAACATCATTTCCTCTCCTCGCTGAGCTGCTGAGAGTAAACAGGGACGTTTTGTCGGGTGGCGCGCGCGCCTCCGCCCGAGTGGGATAAGCCTGTTGGTACTGCAGCTCCAACCCCCTCAGCGCGCCCCTTGTGGTGGTGGTGGTGGGGGG